ATTAACAAATCAATGTCACATTGTAAGAATTGAGACCATTTGCGCATGTAAAGGTGAGTATCATTGGACAAGGAGGGGGCGTCCATAAGGAGTCTATATGTGTTTAGAAGCAGGGGCGGACTGATCATTTGGAAACTCGGGCACTGCCCGAGGGCCCGGGATCAGTAGGGGGCCCCATGAGACACCCCTGGTACCTTTTTCATAGGCTTTTTTGAGTTTGGGCAAGGACACGGGCCCCATGATCCCCTATTGCCCGGGGGCCCCATGAGTTGTCAGTCCGCCCCTGGTTAGAAGTATTATTATTATTATTATACAGGATTTATATAGCGCCAAAGGGTATGCTCAGCGCAGTACATTATAGTGGGGGACAGAACATGAGACAAGACAGTAACAATACAATACACGAGGGGTTCGAGGGCCCTGATCCTTGGAGCTTACAGTCTAGGAGGGAGGGGGGTAGTGGTGGTACAGGAGGAAGTGGCTGTGGGGGATGGAGTGGTGGGAGGAGTGGAGGAGGTGAGTTGTTAGGTGAGGGCGGGGTAGGCCTCCCTGAAGTGGTGGGTCTTCAGGGTGTGCGCTGAAGGTGATGAGGGTAGGTGACAGTCTAATGGACTGGGGTAGGGAATTCCAGAGGATGGGGGAGGTCCTGGAGAATCCTGCAATTGGGCGTGGGAGAGGAGGAAACAGGGAGCTAGAGAGTAGGCGGTCCTGTGAGGAGGAAGGGCACGGGTAGGGTGGTATTTAGGTATCAGGTCGGCACGGTGTTGTGAATGGCTTTGTAGGTCAGGGTTAGGTTTGAATTTGATGCGTTGGTTAGCCAGTGAAGGGATAGAGGGGGGGTGAATGGGGCCAGTGAAAGGATTGGCAGAGAGGGGTGGAATGTGCAGTTTGTATGAGTCTGGCCGCTGAGTTCAGAAGTAGACTGGAGTGGGGATAGCGTTCGTTTGGGTAGGCCAGTTAGAAGGTAGTTGCAATAGTCCAGGCGTGAGATGCAAGGGAGGCCAATGAGAGGGATTGCAGTAGGGGGGAGAGATGTGAGGGCGTTGCAGTAGTCCAGGCGTGAGATGATGAGTCTGGCCGCTGAGGAGGGAGTTGCAGTAGTCCAGACGTGAGAGTGGGAGTTGCAGTAGTCCAGGCGTTTGAGGGAGGCCAGTGAGAAGGGAGTTGCAGTAGCCCAGGCGTGAGATGATGAGGGAGGCCAGTGAGGAGGGAGTTGCAGTAGTCCAGGCGTGAGATGATGAGGGAGTTGCAGTAGTCCAGGCGTGAGATGATGAGGGAGGCCAGTGAGGAGGGAGTTGCAGTAGCCCAGGCGTGAGATGATGAGGGAGGCCAGTGAGGAGGGAGTTGCAGTAGTCCAGGCGTGAGATGATGAGGGAGTGTACGAGTTGTTTGGTGGTGTCCGGGGTGAGGAACGTACGTATCTTGGAGATGTTGCGGAGGTGGAGGGGAAGTAATACCCCTCCGGTGTGGACCCTGTATACATAAACGTTCAAAGGGAGTAGGCTTCCCCATGATCAATGGAGGTGACATGGCAGAAAAAAAGTGGCGTATTTGAAGGTAAATATATAAATGTTGGGACAGGTAGAAGAACTTTTTCCTGGAGATCTGAGAATGGATGTAGTTTCCGAGTCGCCGGGTGTACCAAGTGACGCAGTTGGAAAAGGTTGGCTGCAACCAAAGGAGACATCCGGGACACGGCCATATTGAAGATTAGGGTTATAGAAGATATATGTCAGTGGGGAACATTCAGAGATCAGTGTAACTTTAGCCTTCCAATTCTGCCAGACAGTCAGGGAACAGTCCATGGGGCCAAGGAATAGGTGGTGAAAGGAAGAGACATCCACTGCTGAGGTCCACCAAAGGAGGGAGCAAGGATGGGCCGGAAACAGCTGCAAAGATTCGATCTCAGTCCATGTGTTGGGAGGGTAATGGGTGGACCATGACATGAAAAAACGAAGGTGAGTTGCATAGTAGTAGGTTACCATATCCGTGCCCCCAAGCCCCCCCTAGAACGCAGGGAGAGCAAAACAGAACATGCAATTCTATGCCGCTTGTTGTGATAAAATAAAATGCAGGAAAGATTTCTGAAGGGAGTGAAGTTTGGACATAGGGACAGGAACGGGGAGGGTCGCAAATAAATATAGAGTTTGAGTAACACGGTCATTTTTAGTACATTAATGCGGTCAAGGAAACAAATGGGTAGGGAATCCCAGTGTTTCAGAGAGCGGGAAATAGCTATAATAGGGGGGGGGGGGGATTGGCCTCATATATGGAGTGGTAGGAGGGAGTGTGTTGAGTGAAATCCTTTTTAAAGTGCACCCAACTTTTTAAAATATTCAGGTACTAATATATAGGGAGTGGATGGAGGTGGGGGAGGGAATGCTTATTCATGGAGGTGGGGAGGGAAGGCTCATTGATGGAGGTGGGGAGGGAATGCTTATTAATGGAGGTGGGGGGGGGAAAGGCTCATTGATGGAGGTGGGGAGGGAAGGCTCATTATTGATGGAGGTGGGGAGGGAAGGCTCCTTGATGGAGGTGGGGAGGGAAGGCTCATTGATAGAGGTGGGGAGGGAAGGCTCCTTGATGGAGGTGGGGAGGGAATGCTTATTGATGGAGGTGGGGAGGGAATTCTCCTTGATGGAGGTGGGGAGGGAATGCTTATTGATGGAGGTGGAGAGGGAAGGCTCATTGATGGAGGTGGGGAGGGAATGCTTATTGATGGAGGTGGGGAGGGAAGGCTCATTGATGGAGGTGGGGAGGAAGGCTCCTTGATGGAGGTGGGGAGGGAAGGCTCATTGATAGAGGTGGGGAGGGAAGGCTCCTTGATGGAGGTGGGGAGGGAATGCTTATTGATGGAGGTGGGGAGGGAAGGCTCATGATGGAGGTGGGGAGGGAATGCTTATTGATGGAGGTGGGAAGGGAAGGCTCCTTGATGGAGGTGGGGAGGGAAGGCTCATTGATAGAGGTGGGGAGGGAAGGCTCCTTGATGGAGGTGGGGAGGGAATGCTTATTGATGGAGGTGGGGAGGGAATTCTCCTTGATGGAGGTGGGGAGGGAATGCTTATTGATGGAGGGTGGAGAGGGAAGGCTCATTGATGGAGGTGGGGAGGGAATGCTTATTGATGGAGGTGGGGAGGGAAGGCTCATTGATGGAGGTGGGGAGGGAAGGCTCCTTGATGGAGGTGGGGAGGGAAGGCTCATTGATAGAGGTGGGGAGGGAAGGCTCCTTGATGGAGGTGGGAGGGAATGCTTATTGATGGAGGTGGGGAGGGAAGGCTCCTTGATGGAGGTGGGGAGGGAATGCTTATTGATGGAGGTGGGGAGGGAAGGCTCCTTGATGGAGGGGGGGAGGGAATGCTTATTGATGGAGGTGGGAAGGGAAGGCTCATTGATGGAGGTGGGGAGGGAGGGCTTATTGATGGAGGTGGGGAGGGAGGGCTTATTGATGGAGGTGGGGAGGGAAGGCTCCTTGATGGAGGTGGGGAGGGAAGGTTCCTTGTGACCCTACCAAAATCCCTCCCTCCCTTTTAGCATGCAGCAGCCATCAATGCTTATTGATGGAGGTGGGGAGGGAAGGCTCATTGATGGAGGTGAGAGCAAATCCTTACACTTGTATATTTTTTTCTGCTTTCAACACACCAACACACTCCCTATATATTAGTACCTGAATATTTTAAAAAGTGGGTGCACCACCGGTAAGGAAAGGATTCCTGAAGAGAAGACAGAACAACGGGTGGAATGTGTAGTGGGAGTGCCTCAGTTTTGGACGTGGTAACTTTGTAGCCTGATAAGGCCCCGAATTGTCGCAAGGTCTTATGTAAATCGGTAGGGAGGTGTGGGGACTCGAAAGTGTGAGATATATTCATTTTTAAAAACTGCGCATTTGAAGTTTCGGTTTCGGCACCAGAATTTTCATTTCTTTGCACCGCTACAAAATGATCTTCTTTGCTGCAATAGTATAAAAACACACAAAACAAAATGTGCATTTGGGACAAGTGCCGGGTAATGAGCTACAATGACACCCTCGCCGGCGCTCCAATATATGAAGCTTTTGAATTTCTTTGGAGTCTGAAAATGATTTTGTTTTATAAAACAATTTTCTTAACGCCGTCGCAGTTTACAAATGTGCTGCCGCATGCTGGGAGCGCGAAGTGAAACGTTCGACCTATCCGGATAATTATGCTGCTTTACAGGTAAGTAATGAGGAATACATGTGCCAGCAAGTTCCACGCTATAACACCGAACGTTTCAATTTTGCAACAAGTCAGAAAATGATTCAGCTTTTTTTTTTTTTTTAAAAAAAAATGCTTTTAGAACACAAAACTGCAGGTTGTGACCGGCATCAGCAATGTTGTACCGGGCAATCTGCTGCGGCTGTATAACAAAGTAGATAGAAACCCAAAATGGATGACATTAAGTTTGCAGAGTGCACTTTGTATTGCTTTTTTTTTTTTTTACATAAAATCCTAATTTTTACCCTCCCTTCCTACTTTGTTACATATCGATGCTGCTGACCCCCTGCGGGATTTTTTGCAGCCGCTTCCAGTCCACATGCACTGCAATGAAGGCTGTGTGGTATTTCTCAGGGCGGGTTCTCTGGTGGTGACAACGGTAGTCCGCACCTGTTTAATGGATGTTGAAAAGGACACTTTCATTCAGAAGTTCGGGTGATAGGGTGACAACGCAGGACCACAATTGGGAGACGGGTACAGAGAGTTGTCACCCTATTACAGGAAGTGTATGAATAAGGATTTTCATGGAAGGATCACTGAGGATTATTTGAGTGAAATTTAGATGCAACCGGGGTCTGTGATACCGCTAGGCAAAACTAGACAGCCTACGCCCAACCAAGATTTCAGTTGTGCTCCCCCTGGCTGGTCTTTCCATGAATGCTGTGCCTGGCTGCTGCATGCTAAAAGGGAGGGAGGGATTTTGGTAGGGTCACAAGGAGCCTTCCCTCCCCACCTCCATCAATAAGCATTCCCTCCCCACCTCTATCAATGAGCCTTCCCTCCCACCTCCATCAAGGAGCCTTCCCTCTTCACCTCCATCAATGAGCCTTCCCTCCCCACCTCCATCAATGAGCCTGACCTCCCCACCTCCATCAATGAGTCTTCCCTCCCCACCTCCATCAATAAGTATTCCCTCCCCTCCTCCATCAATGAGCCTTCCCTCCCCACCTCCATCAATGAGCCTTCCCTCCCCACCTCCATCAATGAGCCTTCCCTCCCCACCTCCATTAATGAGCCTTCCCTCCCCACCTCCATCAATGAGCCTTCCCTCCCCACCTTCATCAATGAGCCTTCCCTCCCCACCTCCATCAATAAGCATTCCCTCCCCACCTCCATCAATGAGCCTTCCCTCCCCACCTCCATCAATGAGCCTTCCCTCCCCACCTCCATCAATGAGCCTTCCCTCCCCACCTCCATCAATGAGCCTTCCCTCCCCACCTTCATCAATGAGCCTTCCCTCCCCACCTCCATCAATAAGCATTCCCTCCCCACCTCCATCAATGAGTCTTCCCTCCCCACCTCCATCAATAAGCATTCCCTCCCCACCTCCATCAATGAGCCTTCCCTCGCCACCTCCATCAATGAGCCTTCCCTCCCCCCTCCATCAATGCGCCTTCCCTCCCCACCTCCATCAATGAGCCTTCCCTCCCCACCTCCATCAATGAGCCTTCCCTCCCCACCTCCATCAATGAGCCTTCCCTCCCCACCTCCATCAATGAGCCCTCCCTCCCCACCTCCATCAATGAGCCTTCCCTCCCCACCTCCATCAATGAGCCTTCCCTCCCCACCTCCATCAATGAGCCTTCCTTCCCCACCTCCATCAATGAGCCTTCCCTCCCCACCTCCATCAATGAGCCCTCCCTCCCACCTCCATCAATGAGCCTTCCCTCCCCACCTCCATCAATGAGCCTTGGTTGCGCCCATGACCCTGTCACCAGTTGGCCGTTTTTCCTTCCTTGGACCACTTTTGGTCGGTCTTGACCACTGCAGACCGGGAACATCCCACAAGAGCTGTAGATTTGGAGTTGCTCTAACCCAGTCGTCTAGACATCACAATTTGGTCCTTGTCAAAGTCCCTCAAATCCTTACACTTGTCTATTTTTTCTGCTTTCAACACACCAACTTCAGAGACGACATGTTCACTTGCTGCTTAATATATCCCTCCCACTTTCAGGTGCCATTGTAATGAGATAATCCATGTTATTCACTTTTCCTGCCAGCGGTCAGAATGTGATGGCCGATCGGTGTGTATTTGGAATGATAGCATTGATCGAATTATTTCTCTCTTCCTATATTCTCCTCTTCCTGTATATCGATCATTTGTATTATTTCAGCAAATAGAATTTCTAAGAACAAAGTAAAAGTCGTTTTCTCTCGGCTCTTCCTCTGACCTCTTCAGAGTCCTCGTCTACTTTGGTCAGAAGAAATGCGTCGGCGCGGGGATTGACTTTCCCGATTCCTGTTTGTTGTTTATTTATCGTTATTTATTTTTCTGTTTCTTCACTTTTTCTCGGCGGCAGCCGTCATCCCGGAGACATCGCGTGCAGCCAGCGGAATCTTTCAAGAACATTCTCTTTTATTTCCAGACCAGAAACAATTTCAGTGTCAGACGTAACCGCGAATTTCTCCAGAAACAATTCACTCTCTCAGACAGACGGGATGACAATACAGCCGTTGCTCTTCCCGGAGTAATGACTGGAATTTTTTTCTGACACCCGCCCGCCTGGCTGACACCTGGAAATGCGCTGTTTTATGGCGCCTGATGACATAACAGGCCTGTCAGAGGTACAGACGGATTCAGGCAAGTCTTCGAAAAAGTAAAAGTGGAAAAGAACAGATACAGTTATGTCATTGTATGTTGTCCGGCATAACCAGAAACTTTGTGGTTTTGTTCAGTCAGTTTGCTGATCTAGGCACACCTTACACACACACACACACACCCCACACACAACACACACACACACACAGACACCTGTACACACAGACATGTACATACAACACACACACAGACATGTACATACACACACACACACGTACATACACACACACACAGACGTACACACAGACATGTACATACACACACAGACATGTACATACACCCACACACACCCATACACACACACACACACACACACACAGACACCTGTACACACAGACATGTACATACACACACACAGACAAATACACACACACACACGTACATACACACACACACACACACACACAGACAGAGACACATGTACACACACATACAGACACATGTATACACACACAGACATGTACACACACACACAGACATGTACATACATACACACAGACATGTACACACACACAGACATGTACATACACACACACAGACATGTACATACATACACACAGACATGTACACACACACACACACACACACACACACACAGAAACATGTACACACACACAGACATGTACATACATACACAGAAACATGTACACACACACACAGACATGTACATACACACACACACACACACACACAGACATGTACATACACACACAGAGACACCTGTACACACACACAGACATGTACATACACACACAGACATGTACATACACACACAGACATTTACATACATACACAGAAACATGTACACACACATACAGACACATGTATACACACACAGACATGTACATACACAGAAACATGTACACACACACACATACAGACACATGTATACATACACACAGACAGAGACACCTGTACACACAGCCATGTACATACATACACAGAAACATGTACACACACGCACACAGAGACACCTGTACACACACAGACATGTACATACATACAGAAACATGTACACACACATACAGACACATGTATACACACACAGGCACGTACAGACACGCATACACACAGATACAGTTGCAAGAAAAAGTATGTGACCCCCTTGGGATTCCGTGGCGTTTTGCATGAATTGGGCATAAAATGTGCTCTCTGAACGTCATGTAAGTCACAACAATAGAAGAACACAGTCTGCTGAACATAATACTACACAAACATTAGATGTTGCCACGGTTTAATTGCACATAACATGTAAACATTCACAGTGCAGGGAGAAAAAAGTATGTGAACCTTTGGACTTAATAACTGGTTGACCCCCCTTTGGCAGCAATAACCTCAACCAAACGTTTCCTGTAGTTGCAGATCAGACCTGCACAACGATCTGGAGTCATTTTGGACCACTCCTCTTCACAAAACTGTTTCAGTGTAGCAATATTCTTGGGATGTCTGGTGTGAATCGCTCTCTTAAGGTCATGCCACAGCATTTCAATGGGGTTGAGGTCAGGACTCTGACTGGGCCACTCCAGAAGGCGTATTCTGTGCTGTTGCAGCCATTGTTTTGTTGAATGACTTGTATGCTTTGGGTCATTGTCCTGTTGCATCACCCATCCTCTGCGGAGCTTCAGTTGGCGGACAGATGGTCGTACGTTTTCCTGCAAAATGTCTTGATAAACTCTGGAATTCATTTTCCCATCAATGACAACAATTCGTCCAGGCCCTGAGGCAGCCATCTTGGGGAGACTGTGTCTGACTGCACAAAGAGCTCCCCAGAGACTTAGGCAGCCATAGTGGACCCATCAAAAGGGAGAGGAGGAGGGTCCACCCTCATGGAGGAGGGTCAGCTAACATTGGTCCCGTAACCTATGGAAACTACCTGGTTTGGGGAAGGACCTTTTCACCAGCCTGACTTGTACTCAGCAGTGAGCTCTCTGCAGCCATCTTGGGGGAGACTGTGTCTGATTGGACACAGAGCTTCCCAGAGACTTGAGCAGCCATATTGGACCCATCAAAAGGGAGAGGAGGAGGGTCCACCCATGTGGAGAAGGGTCAGCTAACGTTGGCCCGGTAACCTATGGAAACTACCTGGTTTGGGGAAGGACCTTTTCACCAACCTGCCGTGTCCTCTGCACTGAGCTCTTGGCAACCATTTTGGAGCAGCTTGTGTCTGATTGGACACAGAGCTTCCCAGAGACTTGGGCAGTCATATAAGACTCATCATAAGGAGGAAGGTTCACCCTCGTGGAGGAGGGTCAGCTATTGTTGGCCCCGTAACCCATGGAAATTACCTGGTTTGGGGAAGGACCCTTTCACCAGCCTGACTTGTCCTCTGCACTGAACTCTTGGCAGCCATCTTGGGGGAGCCTGTGTCTGACTGGACAAAGAGCTCCCCAGAGTCTTGGGCAGCCATATTAGGCTCATCAAATGGAGGAGGAGGGTCCACCCTCGTGGAGGAGGGTCAGCTAACATTTGCCCAGTAACTTATGGAAGTTGCCTGGTTTGGGGAAGGACCCTTTCACCTGCCTGACTTGTCCTCTGCACTGAGCTCTTGGCAGCCATCTTGGGGGAGCTTGTGTCTGACTGGACAAAGAGCTCCCCCCAGAGTCTTGGGCAGCCATATTAGACTCATCAAAAGAAGGAGGAGGGTCCACCCTCGTGGAGGAGGGTCATCTAACATTTGACCCAAAACTTATGGAAGCTGCCTGGTTTGGGGAAGGACCCTTTCACCTGCCTGACTTGTCCTCTGCACTAAGCTCTCAGGCAGCCATCTTGGGGGAGCCTGTGTCTGATAGGCTGCTGTATTGGACTGATGGAAACTTCCTGGTTTGGGGAACGAACCCTTTCACTGTCCTGCATCTGGATTGGTGCATCCTTACACCTTACATTGCCAGCACAGCACCCTATCCAGGAGACCCACTTGAAAGCCTAAGTGACCCATTTAAAGGAGCAATCCTTGAGCATGCTGCTCATGTAGGTTCTTTATATCGGACTGTCTTGTTACAGGACCATAAAAGTGCCTTCTTCTTCATACAGATACTTTGGGATAACCAGAAAATTCCTAAAAATATCTTACCTGGTCCCTTTAAATTACCTCCACACAGTTACCCCGCCCACATGTGGGCACCTGAAGATGGGCCGTCATACCCTACAGTCCAGAAAAAAAAGCACGTACAGATTCAGGTATGTATTTTTTTTTTTTTTTGGGGGGGGGGGGTATGAGGGTACAGGACTTTTGTTAGTTCTTTTCATTTTTTCTGATAGGGTGAACAGACCCTTTAAAGACTCTTTTGACTAGATATGTGTGATTTCTTTCATTCCGAATTAGAAATTCGGACACATTTTTTTGTTATTCGGAAATTCAGATGTCTCAAAATTTCCGAAATACAGTAGTAACGAATCCGAAATAACAAAATGAAATTTGGACGAAATTAAAAAAAAATTCGAATCAAATTCTAATACAATTTGAATGCGAAAAGAATAGAACATAAAAGAACAGAACAGAATAAAATTAGGATACAAAAGAATAAGATAGAAGAGAATAACAATAGAATAGATTTAAATAGAATGAATATAATTGTCTTCCGAAATCTGAATTTTGAATAGACTACATTCGTATAGAATACAAAAAACAATAGAAAGAATATAACTGTCTTCAAATTTCAAATAGAATAAATTCAAATTCGCATAGATTAGAAAAGAAAGAGAATAGAGTAATACAGAAAAAAGAAGAGAATAGAATAAAATAGAAAGAATATAACCATATTCCAAAATCAAATTGACTTGTCCTCTGCACTGAGCTACCGGCAGCCATCTTGGGGGAACCTGCGTCTGATGTGACACACAGGTCTTCAGAGACTTGGGCAGTCATACTGGACCCAAATAGGCCATATATACAGCTCAAAAAAATGAAAGGAAGACTTTGTAATCAGAGTCTGGCATCAAGTTGATGAACCTCCCGGGATATTGTTATGGTCAGGTAAGTCGCAGAGGGGGTTGTTCATCAGTTTCAGCTGCTTTGGTGTTCATGAAATTAACAACAGGTACATTTCTTTCCCTACTCATCTTTTCTGACTGTTTTTCACTCGTTTGCATTTGGGCTCGGGTCAGCGTCACTGCTGGTAGCATGAGGCCATACCTGGACCCTACAGAGGTTGCACAGGCAGTCCAACTCCTCCAGGATGGTACATCAATACCTGCCATTGCCAGAAGGTTTACTGTGTCTCCCAGCACAGTCCTCAAGAGCATGGAGGAGATTCCAGGAGACAGGAGCATGGAGGAGATTCCAGGAGACAAGAGCATAGAGGAGATTCAGGAGACAAGAGCATGGAGGAGATTCCAGGAGACGAGCATGGAGGAGATTCCAGGAGACAAGAGCATGGAGGAGATTCCAGGAGACGAGCATGGAGGAGATTCCAGGAGACAAGAGCATGGAGGAGATTCCAGGAGACAGGAGCATGGAGGAGATTCCAGGAGCAAGAGCACGGAGGAGATTCCAGGAGACAAGACATGGAGGAGTTTCCAGGAGACAGGCAGTTCCTCTAGGAGAGCTGGACAGGGCCGTAGAAGGTGTCCTTAACCCATCAGCAGGACCGGTATCTGCTCCTTTGTGGAAGGAGGAACAGGATGAGCTCTGCCAGAGCCCTACAAAATGACCTCCAGCAGGCCACTGGTGTGAATGTCTCTGACCAAACAATCAGAAACAGACTTCATGAGGGTGGCTTGAGGGCCCGACTACCTCTAGCAGGCCCTGTGCTCACTGCCCTGGTCCAGATGCCCTGGTCCAGATCTGGGAGGAAATCCCATAGGACACCATCCGTGGTCTCATTAGGAGCCTCCCCCGACGTTGGGAGGCATGCATACAAGCACGTGGGGGCCACACAACTACTGAGGACCATTTTTTAGGTTGCTGCAATTAAATTTCAGCATCATTTTTTCGTTTTTGATTTTCAGGGTGTCTGTGAATTTCAGTCATTTTCGTTTCCATCAAACGATGGGGCATCCTTATGTTCCTAACACATTACTCAGTTCATATCAGTATAGAGATCCAGCGTGAGATTTTTCCCCATTGAGATCTGATGGGTTTTCTGATGTGATTCTTTAATTTTTTTTGAGCAGTGTAATGTATATATATAATTGCCCAAAGGCCCGCACCTGACCTTTAATGGCCCCCCAGTCTGTAGCCTTAGTCCGTAGGGTTCAATATTGAGTTGGCCCCGCCCTTTCCACGCACACATGACTTTTAATGGCCCCCGAGTCTTAGTCCGTAGGGTTCAGTATTGAGTTGGCCCCACCCTTTCCACACACATGACCTTTAATGGCCTCCCAGTCTTAGTCCGTAGGGTTCAATATTGAGTTGGCCCCGCCCTTTCCACGCACATGACCTTTAATGGCCCCCCAGTCTTAGTCCGTAGGGTTCAATATTGAGTTGGCCCCGCCCTTTGCAGCTATAACAGCTTCAACTCTTCTGGGAAGGCCGTCCACAAGGTTTAGGAGGGTGTCTATGGGAAGGTTGGACCATTCTTACAGAAGCACATTTGTCAGGTCAGGCACTGGCATGAAATTGTCCAAATTGTCTTGGTATGCTGACGACTTAAGAGTCCCATTCACTGGAACTAGGGGGCCAAACCCAACCCCTGAAAATCATCCCCACACCATAAAACTTTACACTTGGCACAATGCAGTCAGGCAAGTACCGTTCTCCTGGCAAACTGCCAAACCCAGACACGTTTATTGGTTTACCAGACAGAGAAGCGTGATTGGTCACTCCAGAGAACATGTCTCCTCTGCTCTAGAGTCCAGTGGCGGCATGTGCTTTACACCACGGCATCCGACGCTTTGCATTGCACTTGGTGATGGAAGGCTTGGATGCAGCTGCTCGGCCATGGAAACCCATTCCATGAAGCTCTCTACGCACTGTTGTTGGGCTCATCTGAAGGCCACACCAAGTTTGGAGGTCTTTAGCTATGACTCTGCAGGCAGTTGGCGACTTCTGCGCACTGTGTGCTTCAGCATGCGATGACCCCGCCCTGTCATGTGACGTGGCCTACCACTTGGTGGCTGTTGTTCCCAGTGGCTTCCACTTTGTTATAATCCCACTAACAGTTGAGCGTGGAATATTTAGTAGCCAGGAAATGTCACTGATGGACTTATTGCCCAGGTGGCCACCTATCACGGGACCACGCTTGGAGTCACTGAGCTCCTGAGAGCGACCCATTCTTTCACCAATGTTTGTAGAAGCCGTCTGCATGCCTAGGGGCTTGACTGTATACACCTGTGTCCATGGAGGGGATTGGAACACCTGAATCACATGTCCATGGAGGGGATTGGAACACCTCACATGATATGGAGGGGATTGGAACACCTGAATCACATGATATGGAGGGGATTGGAACACCTGAATCACATGATATGGAGGGGATTGGAACACCGAATCACATGATATGGAGGGGATTGGAACACCTGAATCACATGATATGGAGGGGATTGGAACACTGGAATCACATGATATGGAGGGGATTGGAACACTGGAATCACATGATATGGAGGGGATTGGAACACCGGAATCACATGATATGGAGGGGATTGGAACACCTGAATCCAATGATTTGGTGGGCTGGCCCAATACTTTTGATTATATATATATCTCCCCATGCTTGGCATTCTGAGTATCCTGCAGTGTGGGGGCAGGGATCTGCTGGCTAGGGTGAGACAGGCCCAGCATGGAGAAAAGGTGCATGTGGAGGAGGATCAGCTAACATTGGCCCTGTAACCCATAGAAACTACCTGGTTTGGGGAAGGACCCTTTCACCAGCTTGACTTGTTTTCTGCACTAAGCTCCCAGCAGACCATTTTGGGGGAGCCTGTGTCTGACTGGACATAGAGCTCTCCAGTGACTTGGGCAGCCATATTGGACCCACAGAAGTTATATTTAACCCCAGCTGGGTCATTCTGGGCATCCTACAGTGTGGAAACAGGCTGAATAGGGAGAGCTCAGAAACAGGAAATATTCCTGTGGAGGAGGGCCACCCCTGAAAATTACCTGATTTAGGGGAGCCTTCATCTCGATTTGCACATCCAAGAGGGGCCCCGTTGAAAGGAGCAATCCTCGGACACATACTTCCGGAACTGTAAAAGGGCTTTACTATCTGTGAGGATACTTTGGGATAACCTCGGCATCATTGGGAAGATGGACCCTCCTACTGTACTGTCCAGAGGAAACGAGTGTCGGACCTGGCACGTCACATGACCAGAGATTCGGGTAAGGATTTTTTGCAGCTAGGTGTGTGTGTGTGTGGGGGGGGGGGGTTATCATTTAGTGGGTGGGGAAAGGGGATTCCCTGGCTAGAATGGGGGGGGGGGGGGGGGGGGGGGGGGGTGGGTGGCGGGTGATGGTTGGTATTGCTACTACCAATGGTCGGCTTATTGGAAGATGGAAGGGATTTTAATACACAGGTGTTCCTCGGTTTACGAATTTAATGCGTTCTCCGGGACATTTCGTATTGCGAAAAATTCGTAAGCCGAAATGCAGTTTCCCAGGAATACACTGAAAACCAATTAATCCGTTCCGGAGGTCAGAAAAAAGTTATAAAAAAGTCGCTGTCACTATAGGTCGCTGCCGGTTTTTAAATGTAATTACCGGCTTTTTTTTTTCTTCACTAAAGCTCAGAGATTCAGCTGTCACTTTCCTCCCAGCTAAAAGAAACAACGTTTCCTTTTAGTTTATTTCCCGAGATAAAAGAAACAATGTTTCCTTTTAGTTTCTTAAAAGAAACAAAGTTTCCTTTAGCTCCAGGAAAGTGACAGTTAATTCTGTGAGCTATAGTGCAGAAAAAAAAAAGCCGGCAATTGCATTTAAAAATCGGCGCCTACATACACTTCGTATCGCGAAAATAATTCGTAAAAAAAAATTGGTAAACCGAGGCGTTATTTTCAATGGATTTTCATTCGTAAACCGAAAATTACATTAACCGAGGCGTTCGTAAATCGAGGGTACCACTGTACCTATTCAAATAGTCCCCAAACCGCCATTACCAGGAAAGCAAATACAATGCCTTCATCCCTGACTACATTCTTCCCTGCAGCATCTCATTGTCTCTCCCCATACAGGGCCTCTTTAACCACTTCCTGTCCAGCCCATGTATATAAACGGCCAGACGGTGGCAGTGCAGGGTCAGGTGGCTGTTTATAAACGGCCTCCCCGCCCCCTGCTTGTGGTCGCTCCCTGGGAGTGCGCGCAGCACTGCAATCCGGTGCCCGCTGTGTCCTCCGGAAACAGTGGAACGACCAATCGTACGGGACCTCTGTGCGAGGTCCCGATCATGTGATCACTGATTGGCCAATCAGTGATCACATGAAGAGTAGTAATCAAGATGTCACTTCTGACATCATTGCTTACTACGTGTTAAATCTTGTACCATGTGACAAGCTGTGACCAATCAAAGCTCTCACAGTATTTCTCAATGGCTGCAAGAATGCAGCCAGAGAGAGGAGAAATGATTGCTTTTGCAGCTTTTATGGGTGTAAAAGCAATCAGTGTAAAAAAAAAAAAAAAAAATCTTTATTACCCCCCACAAGTAGTACAGTGTCACTATGGTGACCCCACACTGCTAGGGTGACAGTATGTAAAAAAAACAAAACAATAATATAAAAAAATAAAATAAAAAATTTAAAAAACATTTTTTTTAAATTATAATTTTTGGTTATAAACTAATTTGGGTTTTTTTTTTGTACTAAAAAGATAAATGAATACATTTTGGCCAAGATTTATGAAAAAAGATTATTTATTTGCAAAATTTTATAAGAAAAACACATTTTTTCCCAAATTTTTGGACTTTTTCATTTATATACCAAAAAAAAAAAAAAAATCCCAGCAGTGAATAAATACCACCAAAATAAAGCTTTATCTGTCTAAAAAAAATTCATCTGGGTACAGTGTTGCATGACCGCGCAATTGTCAAAGTGTGATAGTGCTGAAAGCTGAAAATTGGCCTGGACTGGAAGGGGGGGGGGGAAAGCGTCCGGACTGGAAGGGGGTGAAAGTGTCCGGACTGGAAGGGGGTGAAAGTGTCCGGACTGGAAGGGGGTGAAAGTGTCCGGACTGGAAAGGGGTGAAAGGGTCCGGACTGGAAGGGGGGGGTGAAAGTGTCTGGACTGGAAGGGGGGAAAGTGTCCGGATTGGAAGGGGGGGAAAAGTGTCCGGACTGGAAGGGGGTGAAAGTGTCCGGACTGGAAGGGGGTGAAAGTGTCCGGACTGCAAGGGGGTGAAAGTGTCCGGACTGGAAAGGGGGGAAAGTGTCCGGACTGGAAGGGGGGGGGGAAAGTGTCCGGACTGGGAGGGGGGGAAAGTGTCCGGACTGGAAGGGGGGGAAAGTGTCGGACTGGAAGGGGGGAAAGTGTCCGGACTGGAAGGGGGGGGGGAAGTGTCGGACTGGAAAGGGGGGAAAGTGTCGGACTGGAAGGGGGGGAAAGTGTCCGGACAGGAAGGGGGGGAAAGTGTCCGGACTGGAAGGGGGGGAAAGTGTCCGGACTGGAAGGGGGGGAAAGTGAAGTGTCCGGACTGGAAGGGGGTGAAAGTGTCCGGACAGGAAGGGGGGGGGAAAGTGTCCGGACTGGAAGGGGGGGGAAAGTGTCGGACTGGAAGGGGGGAAAGTGTCCGCACTGGAAGGGGGGGGGAAAGTGTCCGGACTGGAAGGGGGGAGAAAGTGTCCGGACTGGAAGGGGGGGGGGAGTGTCCGGACTGGAAGGGGGGGAAAGTGTCCGGACTGGGAGGGGGGAAAGTGTCCAGACTGGAAGGGGGGGGGGGGGGGGGGGGGGGGGGGGGTGGAAGTGTCCGGACTGGAAGGGGGAGAAAGTGTCCGGACTGGAAGGGGGGGGAAGTGTCCGGACTGGAAGGGGGGGAAAGTGTCCGGACTGGGAGGGGGGAAAGTGTCCAGACTGGAAGGGGGGGGGGGGAAAGTGTCCGGACTGGAAGGGGGAGAAAGTGTCCGGACTGGAAGGGGGGGAAAGTGTCCGGACTGGAAGGGGGGGGGGAAGTGTCCGGACTGGGAGGGGGGAAAGTGTCCGGACTGGAAGGGGGGGGAAAGTGTCCGGACTGGAAGGGGGGGGGAATGTCCGAACTGGAAGGGGGTGAAAGTGTCCCGAACTGGAAGGGGGTGAAGTGTCTGGACTGGAGGGAGGGGAAAGTGCCCGGACTGGAAGGGGGTGAAAGTGTGAGATGGGGAAACAGCTCTCATTGTTTGAACACTGTTTGTGTGCAGTAAATTATGGTGTGGAGTAAATTGATGTTTTGACTGACATTCTGCGGTTTAGCCACAAGATGTCACTGTTTTTCTAGCACAGGCTCAGACTGCATAGATATTTGTATATTCATGAAGAGGTGGGGTTTTTAGTGAACAGGAAGAGGAGACTGCAGCCATGTTTTGGACGATGCTGAATGCAGGAGCTATGTTCTGGAGAATGTTGAATGAAGGGGCCGTGTGAGCTGCAGCTGGGTGAAGCTGATGAGATTGCTGCCAGGAAGCTGATGAGAACCGAGGAACAACGCAGCATACACTGCAATATCGCAGGCCTGTTGTTCTGTTCAGAGTCACCAGCGGATGCAAGGCAGACCTGGGTCGGTAAGATGGTGCACGCACCTCATTTCAGTGTTTTGCGCCTTGAGACTGAGGCCAGGCCTATAGTTAGTTAGTTAGGGTCTCTGTGTCAGGCCACAAGTGTTGTTACTGATCATTGGAAGGACTCCACAACTTAAAGTGACTGTCAGGGATCTCCTCGATCCCCGCCGCGATGGTCCCGGCGCAGGCGCAGTGCACCGCCCTGTGCAGGGACGCGGGCACTAGGTCCGGGCCGGCCGCGGCGTTCGAGTTCGCGCATGCGCAGTAGAAGCCGCGGCCGCCCGCTGGGCACCAATGGCAGCGCAGGGCGGGATATTTAAATGGCCCTGAGCTGTCATTCAGTGCCTTCTGGTCTTCCCTGCATCCTTCTGTGAACCTGTGATCCTGTACCCCTTGTAAGTTTTGACCCGGATTGAACCTGACCTTGCTGCTTTCTCCTGCTCTGACCCTTGCTTTGCCTGACCTCTCTCCTGGATGCCCCCTATTGGATTTGACCTGCTGTTGCTGACCTGGCGTGTGACCCGACCATTCTATGCCCGCTGCCTTGTACCTTGCCGTCCTCTCTGTTACCGACCCGGCCCGTCTGACCTTGCTCATCCATCCATCCATCCCTTGCAGTGGGGTCTTCCGACCTCCTCACATCAGACTCTTCCCCGTGGGAGCCCCTTGCGCATACTACTACCACTGACGGGCGCACCCAGTAGTCACGACCTGGTCTCAGGGAGCTCCAAGTCCATCCCCACCATCAGGGGCCCTGGTGAACAAGCACCCTGGGACTTAGATTCCGTGCACTGGGGACGCCTATTCAGTGGAGTGCTAGTAGTACCGCCGGGCGGTCCCTTACAGTGACATTTCACATTGGAGAGCTGATAAAATCCTACAAACTCACCCCAGACTGGTGTTTTGCTCAGAAGGAATACTCAGACACGTGCTACAGGAGCAGGTATGGGGGGGGGGAATACTGTAGATTTGTGTAAGATTGTAAGCTGTTGTGCTGCACCGCAGGCTAGCCCATCCCGTACCCCCATA